GAGATAGGAGTAGTAATCACGTTGTGTCCTCACGCGAAGCCGACAAGTGGTTGTTGTGAAATGCGTCGAAGAAGGTCGTTCGCAAGCAAAGCTCCACAACGTCGTCCACGTCTATAACGTTTGGATAATCCTCGCTTAAATCCACCCTCAAATCCTCGTCCATTGCTTGGTTTATATCCGCCGCCGTTTCCGAAGCCGCCGCCGACGCCGCCACTGCGCTTTCTTCTCCGACAGGCGCCGCGGGGCATGCTAATATTCGCGACTAACAGTCAAGCTAACGTTTGAACCTCATTTTCTTTTTTATTTTATCGTCTCAAAAATTTTTTTCCGGCATTACGAGATTGTCAATTTTTGTGGGGGATGAGTGGGGAATGACACACTTGTGCTGTAGAAGTTTGAAAACGTGCGAGGATAGATTTTGGCAGTGGAAAAATTCCGTTTCTGCATGGAGAAGAATTTTTAGGAAACATAAGTAGAGGCAAAGAAAAGATTCAAATCAAACAATAATTTTTCGTAAAATTGTGATATTGGCAGATGAAGTGTATTTATCTGCATGATTATGATTCGAAGTTGATGCATTTGTTTCGTGGTCGTCTTTTTCTTGATTCTTTCTTCTTTTTTTGTCGCACTTCTTTGTCTTCGATGAAAAATCTCAATTTAGCCGAAAATGAGGACAGTCACATTTGATTTACGAACTGTACAGACTTCCAATATCAGAATGAATGATTTATAAATGTGAGGGAACAAAGGAATTACAGGACCGAGGCATTTTGTTCGCGGTGATTTGAGACTGACGAGGGTTTGTCTGAAAGTTTTGTGAAAATTCTTTTAACCTGTCTCTCATTTCAGAATTTTTTACCACAAAATATTAAAAAAAACCATTGTGATTTGAAAAGAATTTGAAAATTAAAATCCAAATGTAAATTCCCGTGATCCTCCTTGAATGGACTTCAAGTTTAATTTATGTTTGTGGTGATACAGTACATTTGATCATTTCCTGATTACAGTCTCAAGTTTTTCTCTTCCTCATTAAAATGAAGAGAAGATTGACTTGTGTTTTGTACCTCATCATCGTGAGAAAATACGGTTTACCTGCGACACTTGTTCCGTGAAGTCTAACGCAGTACAGTACAGTATTTTTTGAGTCCAAACTTTTAAAATAATGAAATGATATTCGTAGTGGCTTGTAAAAATTGGAAACCATGTCCCCTTGCTTTTTTTTTGCAGTTCTCGTGCTTATGATGCTGATCTACAAAACGTTTTCGAACAGTCAGGGTTTGTGAATGAGGAAAGCTCTATTCTTTGGAAATCAATTACAGCTTGCGTCGATTTTTTATATCGCGCTGATTTTTTGTTTCTTTAATTTTGATTCAGAAGATTTTGATGCCTGAAGAAATTACTATATATTCGGAAACTGACGAATGCTTTGAAAAATCTGACGTAAAAACAGGTTATCGTTGGAATATTTTGTCATTTTACGCCTTTAATCCTGTCATTCATGTCAGAATTTTCAAAAACAAAATTCACAATTAACAATATGATTTCAAAAGCATTTTTAAACTAAAATTGAAGCGTAATTTTTCGTGATCCTGATAATTTAAATCGGTGGAAATTAAATCCGCTACCGAATAGGAATATCTTCAATTTTTGGACATTTTTGACAGGATGGTAATAATACAGAGCTATCCTAGTTTCCTTGATGGAAGCTACATTCATACACCTGCGACATCTACGAGTGTTGAAGTAAGTATCTTCGAGTTCACGAAAATCACCTTGAACTAACGTTATAAAAAAACTAACTTCGAGTGTGCGTAAAGAAAGTACTTGGAATTGTTTCTCGTAGATGTCGTGCCTGACATTATTCGAAGAACGTTGCGCCGCAATGTTTCGTAATATCGCTTGTAGAGGTCGCACCTTGATTTTGGGATGCCGGTTGACGTACGGCACATTATTTATGATTAAATCTCGAATATAAGCCGAAATTTCAATTTATTCGCAGCTCCATTTGAAATTGCGGACGATACTCTTGTCTTTTGAACGCGAAAGTTTCTAAATTTGATTACAGTAATTTGAAAATGGGATTTGCAAAAATGATCTGGCCAACTGTCGATTGGTCAAGTTGAATAATTTTTTGAATTCATGCTTGTTTCCACCTGATGTCGAATATTTTAGGGTCCGATAACATTTTTAGGCTCAAGAACTGAGAGAAACTTTATCTTTTGAATTTAAGAAATATCTCTTCACATCTGTAGTTGATTGAATATTTTAAGCTACAGAATTTTACCAAGAAGTTACCTATACCACCCACACAAATTAATGCGGTCATGTTATTTGTCACCTGATGTCAATCCATTTTTGAGTACTGAAGCAAAATTCATCTTCGAATTGCAGAAAATCTCGCAAAAATCTTCGGTCGCGAAAATAGTGAATGTTGGTTTCAGGACCTTGCAGCAAAAATGTATCAATCCCCTCTAACGTCGGCTGAATCTCTTTAAAGTTTAAACTAACCTGGATGCGAAAATTCTTCGACCATCGCGAGGAAAGTTTCCCTTTGAGTACAAACGTCCCCACTTCTCCTGGAAACATTCGGGATCGTTGGTCGGAAAACCATGAGAGGAACACCTGTTAGCACCAGAAAAACGACCAAGGTCATGAACTGGTTCACTGGAACTGAATCACGACTGAATAAGGCTTCTTTCTGCATTTCCAAAACACGCCCCGAAAGCCGAAGATATTCCGACTTGGAAATCTTGGCCACCTTAATCACTTTGAACGTTTCTGGCATTCTTTGTGATCGAAAAGAAAGAAAATTTTGAGTAGAGACTGAGTCGAAGAAATTCTTGGAAAAAGGTGAAAGAGGAAGATGTAGAAGGTTGAACCGGTGTTTTCATGGCTGATATTGGCTGTGAGATTGGACGAGGGTTGGTGATTTGCGATGAGATTGTGGGGGGACAGTTTTCTTGAGAATTTCCTAGTTTTTTTTTTTTTTTTTTAGCGCGCGAAATCTCAGAATTTCCATAGTTAGTCAAACCTCTTGAAGCTCCGAGCGACCCATAGGAAAGTTGACTTCAGGAAGTTTTTGGAATTGAGTAAAGTGAGTGAAGATTTGCAGGAAGTTAAAATCATTGATGTTTTGAGCCTTAAACTGTTGGGTAAAAAAGTTGACACAATGTTGTACTTGGATGCAAGGATTTGTTTATGCTATCAATCAATAATTTCTCAATTTTTTTGCGTATGAAATCCGAGAATTTTTATGATTGTTCAAACCTCTTCAAACCTCTCCATGGGACTTCCAGGGAAGTTTACTTCCGGAGTTTTCAGAATTATGGGACTTCCAGGAAGTATAACTTGAGGAGTTTTTCGGAATGAAGGAAATTTACAGGAAGGTAAACTTGATGTTTTTTTCCGAGACGTGAACTATTTGGCAGTTGACACGATGCTGCATTTGGATGGAAGGATTTCTTTGCCCATATTCTCACTTTTTTATACGACGTGGAGTAGCATTTTTTATTGCTTTGCTTTTTCTTGGGTCACTGGAATAATTGCCAAAAGGCGGCTTCCGGGAATTCGAGTTCCAGAGGTTTGAAGGGATCGTTTTTCGGGTTTGGGTTGTCTGAAAATCCATCTGAGGGTACGAAACTAAATTGGCATTGTTGAGAGGTTTTTTCCGACGTGAAAATGTTTAAAGTTACCGAGGTACGTCAGCTGTATCAACAGCAGAAATAGCGAATATCCCAGTAATCCATAACGGATACCTTGAAACCAGAATAAGATTCCGCTGTGTAAGCAACACATTCCCCTTTTCTTACCCACACGTGAAACGCCCCTCTAATAAATAAAACCACTTCCAAGTCATCATTTAATTTTTTTTTCGCTGTGTCAAGATCAAGGTTGAGCAGCTAGAGGAAGCCTAGATAAATGAGCAGGATAATGAATGGAAAATAAGTTCGGTTGAATACAGTGTAGAAATTGGAGCGGAGTGCAGTGGCATTGGGCGTGGTTCGGGGTTGCATTTTTATTTTTGTTGTTCATGCCCCGAGGGCGGGATTCCGGTTGTTGGTGGTTGTTGGATGGGGGGAAGAAAACCTTGGGCGTGGAGTTCGTATCCGGTGGAAGAAAAATGTCCTTCTTTGTCTCGTGTTCCTCATTGATTGTGATTTTTTTTTTTTTGCTCGAATTTTGCTGAGTTTTTGAGCGAGGACATCGCTGGGAATTTCGTCCTAGTATAATGCGGTGGAACTTGGATTTCCCGGGGTCTGATTAACTGGGCATTCGATTAAACTGGGCACGAAATTTACGTCATGATGATGATGAGGAATCGAAGGTACCTTAATATATCCTGTCGTGAAAATTTTCAATTGAGTTATTGTGCTTTTACATCCGGGTTGATGTAATTTACTGCACTTGGAGATTTGCCGGAAATTTCCGTATGATAAGTCATATATAACTCGTAGTCGTCTTTCTTGAATTCTTGAAATTCTTTGTGTGAAAGTTTCAGTTGATCGTCACTGATATTCGCTAATCATGAGAAAAAAAACACACTATGATGAGCTGTGATAATCGGCTTTTCATTGTGCGGGATTTTTGTGTTTGTTTCTGCAGAAAATATATATTTTTTGGGGACGTCAATTGTGTTTTTTGTGCTGAGAACTGGGGAACACTTGAAATTATTTGCAGTCATGTGTTGAGTTTCATCGAGCAGGTGTCGCACCTTTCCTTTACAAGCTCTTGTTTTATTTCTCCCGTTTAATTTCCTCCGATGGTAAATTCTATCGAAATCCTCTAATGTTTGGAATTTTGAAAAAGATGTATCCGATCCAAATGCAGTAGGCATAATTTAGTTTTGATTAAAATTAAATTTTTTTACCTCGCAAGTATTCAAAAAAATGGCTTCTTTGATTTCTTGAAGATATATTGATATGAGTGATGGATTCAGTTTTACCTGAATTTTGAACGTGATTCGTTTTGAAAGAGGGTCAGCCGAAGAAAAATAACGCAGATTTTGAGTTTCAAATCACGTCCCACGATTTATTTCCGAAACACCTGCATTTCAGTTTCTTTTCTCGATGCCAAATATTCTGAATAGTTCGATGCCAACCGATTGAGCAAATACTGTACTGTAATTTTTCTTTCGCGATACGAGCCCCGAAGCTCTTGTTGAAGAGGCAGCGTATCTAGTGAAGATCAACGCATACAAAACACACAGACATTCAATTTTTTTTTCGAAATTCGTGTCTCCCTGAACAGAACACAAATGTAATTTTTCTATGCTATAATTTTGAGGATCATTTCACTCGTAAATACTGTTCGTTACTATGGAAAATACTTTTTTTTGGGGGAAGTCAATTGTGTTTCTTTGTCTGATAACTCGTGCACACTTGAAAATTATTTCCAATCATGCATTGAGTTTCATGGAGCAGGTGTCGCACCTTTCCTTTACGAGCGATGCTTTGATCGCTTTATGCTGAAGCTGATTACTTTCGTTTAACAGGAATATCTGAATTTTTAAAAATTTGGTTCAGTCTTTTCTAAAGCGTTCAGATATTGTTATCTGCTTTTCAGAATTTTTCGGGGTCAACTACGATTGAAACAAATATTCATCGTGCTCCTTTGATACGAGCCCCCGGCGCAGACCAAACCTGAAATTACGCCGTCGAACGTAGATGTCGCTGCTTGACGAAAAAGTAACAAGCAGCGACACGAATAAACTCTGATTCTTCAGTAAAATTGCGGATCTCACAAAAATCGACGTTTCCTGAACGAATATCAAAATCTCTTCTCCCGATTTAAATCCCGCACTTGTTCCTACATGAATGCCTCTGTTTTAAAATTAAAAAGAGGACAAAAATGACAACAACATGAAACAAAAACACGTGGAATTTTTTGTGTACAGGATTATGGATGTTTTAGTGGTGTCTCCTGGACGAGTATCCGTAGCTGCGGCGGCGGTAGGACGGCTTGTACGAGCTGTAGCCGTAGTGGCGTCCGTAGCCGTGGCGGCGTTTCGGGAAATACTGTCGCACGCTGACGTGGCTGGATGACCTGGGGTGACCGTGGTACGTGCTGTGCGAGTAGGCGGCCTTTTTGGCGGCCCTCGGGTAGCCGTAGGTTTTGCTAGGTACTACCTTGTAGTACTGGGGCTCGGGTCTCGGATGATACACCGGCACTTCGACGACCTTCTCGTGGTGCACGTGCTGTGAATAAATTATCGCGTGGATAATTTCGGATACGGTATTCAACAATTTCGATGCCACCGGAAAAAGACATTTAAAATAAAAATGAAAATGTGAAGAAAGCGCACGCATAAATCCATGGCAAAATATGGAGGCTGGGATTCACGGGAAAATTGTGGGAACGAAATTTTGTCTTATCCCCACATTTTGAAGAAAATCCATGTTTTAAATGCAATTTTTTGAATCCGTGTTCGCAATTTTTCAGTTAATTGGCAAAAGCGTAAGAGATATGATTTATGCCTGAAGTTAATGAGGAAATTGACTCGGTAGTATTGGTACTGAACGCATGAGTAGAAATTGACGGAATACAGTAATACAGTACAGTATTATGAAAATTTCGAATTTAATTTAAAAGTGTCTTAAATTATTCGGCAAATTTTTTATACGTCTGTTGGCGCGAAAAATGAGTGTTTTAAGATCGAGTTAAAATAATGACACGCCGAATGGAGAATGAATTTTTTTTTTTCAAAGTGTGAAATGGAAAAGCTGCTCTAAATATTCTCTGTTGAACTTGAAATAACTCATTTTGATGTTGAAAATTTAGAATGAACGAAATTTAAAAACTTCCCCTTCAATCGGTTAAATTTTAAACGTTTAGATGAACTTTTTCGATGACTCTCTTCGTAATTTTAAAAATCAGCTCACATTGAAAATGTTTAATTATTTTTTGTTTTTTTCAAAAATGGAACTTCCACAGAATTTTAAATTACATTGTATTTGAATTCATTGAATTTATTCAACTTCTTTTGATGTTAAAAATGTAACACAGACACGGAATTCAAACATTTTCTTCAATCAGTGACGTTTTAAAGGCTTATTAGAAATATTTCAAAATTGGAACTTTTTTGATGACTCACTTTCTGATGTAATTGTAAAGATCAGGTCATTCTTTTTTTCGTTTTTTTTAAAGAAGAACTTCTCGAAATTCCGATTTACCTTGACGATTTGTGGTTCGACGTAGGCCTGAATAACGGGGATTCCAGCGTGATGAATTTTCTTGTGTACTGTGACAAGGGGCTTGTGGACCTGAAAACGAAATTTGTAAAAGCGTACAGTTTTTCATATCGTCAATTCAAGCTGCAAATCTGAACTGTGTCAAGTACAGGCACAGTTTTTGAATAAATGTGGTTCCGAATTCCAGATCATGGATTGTTGGAAAGGAATCATGTCGAGAACTGGAAAAAATGTCAAGTTGCAAACGGTGCAGCTGTGATTATTTTCAAATGCTTCATCATCTATTGTTTCAAAATTTTCCGAAATTTTCTCTCAGCCGAAAGTTCTAAATATTTTATGCATCTTTTTAGAATCAGGATACATTTTCGGTGGATCTTCACCAAAGTCCGATACTTCCATTGAAAAACAAAACAAAAAATTCCGAGAAATTTTGAAAAACGCTTGAAATTCAGCGTTGTTGCGGAATGAAATATAAATATCCCTTGCCAGCCCTTCATTTTTGTTCTACGAGAAACCTGCATCCAACTATGCAAAAAAAAAATATGAGAAGCAAATAAGGATTTTCGAGTCTTTTTCTGTGCGTTGGGAAGGATTTCAAAATTGGAAGAGCACGTGTTCTCTTTCATAATTTCCCGAGTCAGTCTCACAACAACTCCACGAGTTGACAATTTTCTGAAGAATGATATATGTTGATGGATAATTGAAAGAGTGCGATTTTTCGCACCATCGGACAGAAATTGGCGCATCGACGCAAAAATTACGAAATCACAGCCACGATTTTACTTCTCCAGGTTTTTTGGGGGAAACTCGCGGAAAAATTGAGTTTAGGCTACATGAGGATTTTTTTTTTCAAATCTGAAACTTCGACGGAAGGACTGTTTGGATCTTCAATATTTCGGAGACTTTGTCTTTCTTGCTGAAAAAAAATTCAGAAGCCAATGGAAAAATTTCAAGAAGAAGGGTGGGATAAATTCTAAGGTAACGATGATTTGAATCCCAGGGAAGCGTTGTCTTACATGTTTCTATAGTAAGATGTGGATGTGACGTACTTAAAAACAAGATTTTGGGAATCTTCGCATTATCTCGAATAGGCATATGCTCAAATACGTACAATTTTGGTCATTTTTAGACCTAAAAAAAATTGAATTTATATAAGAGCGCTACTTCGAATTTTCTTGACGCGAATTGAGCAACTATTGATCATAATTATGATTCTCATCGCAATTTTTCGCAGATAGGCCGCATAATTATGGCGGCGTTGCGGCTTTATATTTGAATATGTGTTGAGAAAAATGCAAGAAATCTGAATTTTTAATTTTTTGAGCGAAAAGCGATGCAATGAAAAACATGATTTTCGCACCATTTCACGAATTTAGCAACTATTGATCATAATTATGATTCTCGTCGCAATTTTTCGCCGATAGGCCGCATATTTATGGCGGCGTTGCGGCTTTATATTTGAATATGTGTTGAGAAAATGCAAGAAATCTGAATTTTTAATTTTTTGAGCGAAAAGCGATGCAATGAAAAACATGATTTTCGCACCATTTCACGAATTGAGCAACTATTGATCATAATTATGATTCTCATCGCAATTTTTTGCCGAAAGGCCGCATTTTTATGGTGGTCTTGCGTCTTATATTTGAATATGTGTTGAGAAAAATGCAAGAAATCTGACTTTTTATTTTTTTAAAGAGAAAAGCGATGCAATGAAAAACGTGATTTCGGTTATTTTCGCATAATTTCCCTTGAAGACCGTCGAGGTGAGACGCCTTTTTTATGGCGTTTTTTTGGGACAATTTCCATGATGGGCACATAATTTCGTGATTGTGAAAAAAAGTATGTAAGGCATATACAGTACTTTACCTGAACAACTGGTGCGTGTTCATAGTGTTCCTCGACGACAGGCAGAGGATGGACTTGTTTTTCAACAGTGACGACGGGTCTCGGGTCAATGAGTGTCTCCTGAACGAATTGAGCGTGTTGACCGTGTTTCTCGTGGTACGAGGTTTCGGAGATTCTGGTGGGATGCTCGTCGACAATGGTCTTCTTCACACTGACTCCTGTAGAAATCATCGAAAAAAAAGCAGTTTAGAAAATGTTTCCAGAAATTCTGTCTTCAAGTATTTCTTGAACATGTTTCCCTTAAGGTTTTGAATAACTAGGTATTAAATAAAGTAAGTGTACCTTGATTGTGTGGGGCAATTGGTTCGTGTTACGTGGAATGTGGAAGTCATAAAATATAATTCTTCGAATGTTTGCATTTTTTAAAGCATATCGTAGTAGTTTATTATTATTTTTTTTATCCTGGTAGTCTGAAAAAAATTCTCCAAGTTAATAATCCTCAATACAGTATGATAACGCCTCGTATGTTTTTATCATTTCCAATTATAGTATACTGTACTCGAATTCGATAAGTACTTGTGATATTTGGGAAAATTCGAATTTTTCGATTTTTTCTGATAACTATTAGAAGGCTCAGCAGCTGAATATTTATCACGAGACAAAACCGTTCACACGTAATTGTACATGGAATGTCTGTATCAGATCATTTGCATCATCCGGGAATTTAATTAGCTTGAATATTGAAAAACGTTGTGTTCTTTGCCGTGAAAATGTTTCGTTGTTATCTTCGAATCCAACGAGGGGGGAAAATATTTATCCATGTATTCTTTATTTGTGTACCTATGCAGTTGGAGAAACCCGTTTTGAAGGGCACGATTTGCGATTATTGCTTCTTTTTTTTTTCTCATCCGTTGTAAATCTCTGCGCCTGCTTTGCGAATTCCATTGTACAATTCAATTTTGAAGATCTTTGTAGTTAACGGGAAATTTTAATCTGAACTTGTTCTTATCTTCGATCCGCATTTTGGTCCCCTCATAAATTCCTGGAAAATGAGTGTTCCGTTTGGCGCCAAAATATTGAGCGTCTTTGAATCGAGAAATTTCTATTTGAAAAAAATTGGATGCTGAACGAAATGCGAAATCAATTGTCAATAAGATATATTGCGAAACATCTCAATTATTTATGGAATTTCGTATAACAACCTGGGTACAGTACAGTATTCATAATCGTGTTCCTAACGTAATAGACGTAATTCAACTTGTGGAGGTTTTCATTTTTGGAGGTTTCCAGTTGAGGAAACAAACACTTTCGTTATCGTGAGCAGAATTGGACAATAAGTGTGGGAAATCAGAAATGAGGATATTCTGGGCCAAAACTTGCTCCTTATAATGAATTCATCACCTTGCTGAACTTTGAGGCAGGGGTTCATTTGCTATATTTGTCTTTCAATTCCTTTCAAGATGCATCAAATTATTTGTATTAAATAATTTTCTCTTTCATATTTCAAGGAAATAATGACCAGAAGACATCAGAAAATTCTACTTACAGATGTTTTTAGAGAAAAAAAAATACTTGGAGTTAGTGAGGTTTTTAATGTATTCATTCTAAGGGAATTCAGACAGGGACTTGAAAAAAAAAATTCGACTTAGGGAGGTTCGACTTATCCAGGTTCACCTGTATTTCTAAACTTGAAAAAGAATAAATCGGTTTAGCGATTATCGTTATTCGACGAGATTACAGCCGATCCCCACGCGGATGAAGAACCAAATCATCGTCATCATCATGATCATCAACACCTGCAAAAAAAGAAATAAGAAAAAAAAAGCAAAACTCACCAGCTTCAGCGTAGGTCTTCTCGACGTGTCCGTGAGGCCCGACGAATTCGTGTTTGTGCACGACACCCGGCTTGTAAAAGTGCTGCTCTTCCACGTGGGCCTTGGGATTCGGAGAGTGGACTGTCTTTTCGTAGGCGTATGCGGGTGTCGTGGACACGATGACTGCCGCGTGGTCCACGGGGTGTTGTGGGATGATGGAGGCGCCGTGCGGCGCCACTGCGACGGCCTCGTGATGGACCAAGGGCGCCGCCGCGTGCTGGACGACGCCGTGGTGATGAGCCGCCACTGCGTGCGGGACGACGCCGTGATGATGATGATGATGATGAGGAGCGGGCAAGTGGCGTTCCACGACGCCGGCGGCGGCGTAGGCGTTGTCCTTGTGCAAAGTGGGCGACAGGTTGGAGCGGAACCCGTGTTCGTCGGCCACGTAGTTGTTGGTGATGATGCCGCCATCTGGTGAAGCGTAACTGAAGACGAAAACACATTTTTATTGCAAAATATATTTTTTTTTGAAATTTAGAAAAGGGGGGGGGGGGAATGAGGCCACGCATCATAGGTTGGTACCACTTGGAAAAAAAAGACAGCTTCCTTTTTTGCACCTCATACTTGATCCCAATCGGGAATTTTTTTTACATTTTCTTCGGACGATCGAAGAAAATGGAATTGATTGAAAAATTCACGTTCAAGTGCTGAATCGGCTACAGTTCGTCAAAATTCGAATTCCGAGGCTTTTTTTTTCTCGAAATATATTTCAATTGTCAGTCTTTAAAAATGGTATGCGCGCCGATTTCGGCGATACATTTTTATCCAAATTTTCGGGGTACTCAAATATATGTGGTGAGTACTCTAGGTACTGATCAGTACCACTATTTTTTTATTTAATACGGGCTGTCATTATTTCGAAAGAAATTTATGAAAAAAAGTTTCTCGCGGGAACGATAGTCAATTTAATTTTCGTACGTTTCAGAGTACAGTAATTCTGATACATTTATTTACAATATTTTCGAAGCGAGAATAAAATACTGTATTTCAACATTTATTTCAAAGCACTGAGGTTTCTGCCTTTTTTTTTTAAGAGATAGATTTAATGCAAACAAGCATCTTCTCTGGAACTATAAAGGGCTTCGTCTCCTAGATTCCAACTACTGTACTTGAGTTTTGCTTGAAAAAAAATATTAATCATCCCAAGGAACAGTTTCTACCTGCGCATTGTTCAAAGGGCACTCAAATACATACATTTCAATTTTTTATTTAAAAATTTTTGGGGATAAATTCTTTTTTCGTGTTCTTGAGCATGAACCTGTGCAAAGTTCTGGAAGCCTTAAATTGAACATTCAACGCCTTGAAGAGGATCAGAAAAGGTGTTTATTCTTTTGAATAAATTTAGTGTGAGCCACATTTGGGATTTCATTAAATAAAACCCGGGGCAAATTATCACGAACTCGCTTCCAATGATGTTTGAACTTCATATGTACAGTATATATTTTTTTGCAAGATTCTTACTCATTGCTTGTGGATATATACCCTAAGTATACTTGATGTCGCAGAACTGACGCTTAATTTGAATACAGTATCATAATCACGCGTATTTTGTGCACTCAAATAAAACGACTGGTTTTCACCTGAAGGAGCCCAGGACGGTGCCGTCGATGAGTTTCCGCTCTTCCTTGGCGCCGTTGGGTTCAACGTAGCCGTAAACGTACTCGCCGAAGCCATTCTGGGCGTGGTACTGGGTCCTGGAGTTGACCGCTTCCACCACTGGCGCCACCGGCACCACGATGTTGGCTGACGCCGCCGCAGCGAGCGCCACCATCGCGAAAATCTTGAGCGGGAAACATTTGGACGAATTAAATCCGGGGGGGGGAAATTTTGGCTAGATATATTTTTTGGGAAATTGGACTTTTTTACAAATTTTATGTTTACGTAATAGAATTCAGTGGGCAACATTCTGCGGGAACGGATGTACAGTATTTCTTTTTTTTTTTAATTCATTCGATTGAATTATAATTCATATAGATTTATTTTTCTATTTCAGGAGCAAACTGGTGAAAACGTCGCCTATTTTTCAGTGAAGATTTATTTTTCAAGCTGATAACTTTGAGGTGAATGTTCTTGTTAGAGCAGATTAAATTCGTGTCTCGAAATGTAAAAATAAAGGAATTAGATACTGTATTATTGTTCTAATTGTTTTATCTAATTATGATTTTCTTTTTCTGAACTTTTAAAAATTTGAATTTTTTTTATAAATTATAAAACCTTTTTACAATTGCATGAAATGCCAGCGATTTTTTTCTTCGATTTATCATGTGTTCAGAATTTTTAGGAGAACATTCGAGAGAAGAGTCGGGTTTTCCCCATGTTTTTAGAAGCTTCTTTTGGCACAAAAAAGCAATTTTAATTGAGCAGTAAATTTAAATTTCAGCTTTCGTGTTCGAGATTTTTTTTAAGAATTTCGATGCTGCTTCGGACAAATTTTGAGCATTCAATGGCACATTTTTTTAGATTTTTCTAAAGGTTAAGTGTTTATTTTGGATTTTCTTGCGAAGATTCAAAGGACCAAAATCATCAGCAAGCTTCATTTGAAAAGTCACGTAAAAGTACGCATATTTGGAGCGAACTACTTTTCTGAAAACTCGTGATATTTCGAGAACGATGCTTTCCTAATCAGTAATCTGATAACGGATTTCGTAACCATCGAATGGCAAACGAAACTGACTTCTTCAATTTATTTATGGCCTCGTGTCATTGATGTCTTCCCGATTATGACGTTTAAAATCACTGATGCATCAAACCATGTTTTTTGTTGTTATTGTTGCTGAAACGTCTAGCATTTTGATGGAAAATTACAGCACTGTATACTTCAAACGAAACTCAAATCTTGACTGATTTATTCTGGCAGTTTTTCTTCCTTCCTCTCATCTCAAGTGACTCCTATACGAAGTACTGAGAAATTTATGTTGGATTTCGCCTTGAATTTCGTACCTTTGTTGCGTTTGGGTTGAAATTTTAAAGTTAAATTTATAACGATCTAGGAATAAATTAGTTTGTGGTCAGATTGCGGAAACATTCGGCGTCAAAATAAGAGGAATGAAAAAAATTTGTTCTTTCTTTCGAAAGCGCTTAATGCACTTTGTGGTAGCTGTTATTGCTGGAGTTGATTACAATTTTCATGCCTTTCTCAATCGCATGATCGACGCATGAAAGGTTTCCGAGAATCCTATTATCGAAGGGATCAATTTTATGTTTGAAGAATTGCATTCCTTTGTCTGCTGTTAAATTGTCCGAGATAATGGAAAGCTTTTAAAATTTTGGAATGATGCCCATCATCATCACAAAAAAAAGTTTTTGTGGCTTTACTCCTGGTTTTTAATTTCTTTCTCATTTTTTATTTGAAAAAAAAAAAACAGATGTGAGACTCACAATTCTTGTCATGTCTTCTCTCGGTTGGCGTGTTTCGAAAAACAACGACTTGTCTGCTTCGAACTTTATCACTTGCGGAAAAAAAAATCGCGAGGACAAACTTTCGAAGTAAAACACGTGTGTGGGAGACGAGTGTGTGAAACTGCGCTGCTATAAATTCGGATTCGCTCTGGGTATTTATACTTCCCCGAGTTTCTTGGTTCGGGATCCTATACTCCCGCGCACCCCCTGGGGGGAGGGGAAATTAAGTGGGGGGTTATTTTCTTTCTTTTATTTCATTTATTTTGTATTTCTTGTCGCTCTGGCCTTCCGGACATCCTGGTGTGTTTACTACTGCTCTTATGCCTTGGACGAAGGGCGTTGGACTTCCGGCTAGTCTTATTTTATTTTATTTTCTCTTGGTGGCAGGGGGGATACGCAACCCGCGGCCCAGAAGCGCGGGACGCATACTCTTTATTGCGCTGTCTGCATTTTTGTTGTTGGGTTTTTTTTTTTCAAGCAGATGTTTTGAGTGGAGTACAGAGAGACCCCGAGATGCAGATGTAATTTTTGCATCGAGTGTCCCTAAGTCGAGTCCCATTTTCCCTTGGACTTACATAATATAATTTTTAATTGGTGTTTATACCTGTTTTATGAGTGGTATTAAGGTACTTTTATTTTTAACAGAGGGTTAACCTTGACTAAGTCACAATGTATTTCAACACAATATGGAAATTTGGGGAATTGAATACTGATACAGTACCTCTGTACAGTACAGTGAATGTTGGCATTCTCTGTAAAAAAAAAAATAACATTGAAGTGAAAAAGAGAGAAAGAATTCCCTCCATGCTGGAGGTAATTTTTATAAATTTGCTGAATGGATGGCAAATTGGTGAGAGAAATGCCCAAGAACTTTTCTTACTTCAATTATAGGGCTGGAAATATCTGTTTCTTGTAATTTGGGCCGAAACTTATTTGCAATTTTATCACAAAATGTCCCTATGTTGAGTCAATGTCCTCATCTCGGGCATTTTTTATTAATTTTTATGGGAAAATAAGTGTCCGTATGTCGAATTTTCCGCATGTCGGAGTCTCACTGTGTACTTCATGCAACAAACTGTACTAATCATTATGAACTGAGCAGCAGCAGTTCCTCAAGGACAGATTTCAAACTTTTAATCTTTCAACAGCGCTGTATGAGGTAAATGAGAAATAACATTTTTGTATGTGTTAGAAGGTTTTTTTCAATTGAAGAAACATTCTTTCCCCTTTTACTTTGTATGATTGATTAGTTTCTAAAGATGCTGAGAAAAAAAGATGCAAGATAGCTTTCAAGATTGTTTTATAAGGGCTTATGAATCTAGTGTAAAATGTCTGCTCAAATCATCCTCAATTAAGCACAAAAAAGGATTATTGAAAAAAAAGATGGTGATTTTTCCGCATTCTCATGTACAATACTGTGATTCAGTTTCTGTAAATAACTATGTCGTGTATTTTTGTGGAAATTTTTTTTTAACCTTGTTAATGCTGATGAGCTGCAAATGAAGCTTGAATATCAATCACGCATCCGTGGTTAAGTAATTCCTTCATTATCTTTAATTTTGTAGCACTCGTAATGTTTTTGAATTCATTCTTTGCTTGTTGTGTGATCCTCGATTTTTTTTTTTACTGAAAAAACAACAATGAAAAAATTATTTACTAGACCAGAAATATGCATCAAAGGTGCTTCCAGCCGGACAAAAAAAGAAAAGTTTGGAGACCCCTCCCTGTGGCAATCTTTTGCCTTGCGCCTTCAGTCTAGTGTAACCGAGCTCAAAAGAAAAAAATGTTGCATCCTTGTCAATTATTTATTAGGATTTATTGGATAATTTTGCAGGCTGCTTGTTTTCTTTCATTCATTCCAGTTGAAAATGTGTCAAAAATGTTCAAACGATACAAAACTAAGTCTTGTGATTATCTTTGAATGGGGTTGATGAATTGCGCACATTCTGAAAATTGTGCAAGTTTTGTGATGGAAGGACTTGGTGTCGCGAATTTTCGGAGGCACTTCTGCAGAACCAAGCATATCGAATTTAATCACCAGCCTCGAGCTGACGGAAAGTAATTTTTCATGTCACTCTTCTCAATGTTCGAACTTAATCTTCAAAGAGAAACTATGTTGAGTCAATGTCCTCATCTCGGGCATTTTTTATTAATTTTTATGGGAAAATAAGTGTCCGTATGTCGAATTTTCCGCATGTCGGAGTCTCACTGTGTACTTCATGCAACAAACTGTACTAATCATTATGAACTGAGCAGCAGCAGTTCCTCAAGGACAGATTTCAAACTTTTAATCGTCCAACAGCGCTGTATGAGGTAAATAAGAAATAACATTTTTGTATGTGTTGAAAGGTTTTTTTTTTCAATTGAAGAAACATTATTTCCCCTTTTACTTTGTATGATTGATTAGTTTCTAACAGTGCTGAGAAAAAAAGATGCAAGATAGCTTTCAAGATTGTTTTATAAGGGCTTATGAATCTAGTATAAAATGTCTGCTCAAATCATCCTAACAAAAAAGGATTCTTGAAAAAAACAGATGGTGATTTTTCCGCTTTCTCATGTACGATACTGTGATTCAGTTTCTGTAAATAACTATGTCGTGTATTTTTGTGGGAATTTTTTTTAACGTTGTTAATGTTCATGAGCTGCAAATGAAGCTTGAATATCAATCACGCATCCGTGGTTAAGTAATTCCTTCATTATCTTTAATTTTGTAGCACTCGTAATGTTTTTGAATTCATTCTTTGCTTGTTGTGTGATCCTCGATTTTTTTTTTACTGAAAAAACAACAATGAAATAAATTATTTCCTAGACCAGAAATATGCATCAAAGGTGCTTCCAGCCGGACAAAAAAAAGAAAAGTTTGGAGACCCCTCCCTGAGGCAAGTGTGATCTGTTGCCTTGCGCCTTCAGTCTAGTGTAACCGAGCTAAAAAAAAAAATAAAAAAAAAGGTTGCATCCTTGTTAGTGATTTGTTTGGCTTCATTGGATGATTTTGCAGGCTGCTTGTTGTCTTGCATTCATTCAAGTTGAATATCTGTCAAACAGGTTCGAACAATACGAACCAAGTCTCTTTGAATGGGTTCGATAAATTGAGCGCATCCTGAAAATTTTGCAAGTTTTGTGGAAGGACTTGGGCTATTTTTTTGTTCTTCCTCGACCAGATCTTTGAAGAATACATTTTTTACACGCCTATGGTAATTGTTTTCTTCGTTAGCGTATCAATATAGAATTAATCTACTGTGGTTCAGATCACGATTTTTCTGCGAATTGTTGCGTATCTTGGATCATTTTCAAGAGAATGGCTTTTGTGTTGGAAAATTTTAAATGCGATGATTGTTGAAATTGCATACAAACTCTTCAATCCGTCTTAGATTTAAATAATTAAATCACTGCGTCATACTTGTATTGAATAATGTCAGTACCTTCCATATGTGGATTTTTGAGAAAAATCCTGGTGATACCACGTGTTTTTTCGAATGGTTTGTTGAATAACGGATTGAATTTTGAAAGTTGGTAGAAAACTACGGCCACAGTCATTTTTGTGAACCAATTTGATAGCGTTCCATCATTGTTTTGACGATTTTTGAAAATTGCAAAGCCGGAAAGGCTTGAGAAAAGAAACCTTGAGGAACTCTGCTAAAATCATCGTGCTAATTCACGAAGTCGTGACTGCTTTTAGACCAGTCGTATTATTGTGCTGTAGATATATATTTTTTTCTTCGGTGCAGCCAATTCAGCCTTAGGAATACAAATAGCTTTCCTGTCAACAACCAGAAGGAACGAATCTTAGCTCTGCATAGAAGTTGGCAGGTCATAAAAAAAAGAAATTGTGTTCGACTTGACGATGTAACATCTCGATTTCCTGGTGTGTAAACCAACAGACAACCTTGAAATAAGACTTTTTCAATCTCCGGGTCGGCCTCTCTTTTTTTTTTTTTTATATATATAATGATGCAACTGTACTAGGCATTTTTGGAATCGATTTCCGAGTGCTGAGAATAAGAGATGGTGTTTCTGGATTCATGATTGAGACAACGGAAGATTTCACTGTCCAAGATGCGGTAACTAATAAAAAGACGAAAGTAGCATTGGTTGCTTCGATGTATTCAGTTGCAATCTTATCTATAAATTTCAGTTGGGGGAAAATTTCCATTCTTGCGTCCGTTATCATCAAAGTTTGTGGTTTAGCATTTCCCGCTACTCGCGAATAAAATTGTTTTGCACCGAAGGAATTTCAGCGTGCCGTTTCTCACTTCGAAATTGAACCAGTGCCGTTGTGTATTATTTTGAGTTTTTCGTTGTTGCGGGCAAAAATTTTTAATGATACCGTTAATTCTTGATCACCAACACCACACTGCAATTTTAATTATTGGTAATTTTTTTAGCTTCCCAGTCCGTTTTGATTCACGCAAATGACTCTTTTTGGCTCATCAAGGTGCGAGAGAAATAAAAAAAAAAGTAATTTGTATGTTTAACAACCTACGATGGGTTGATTGTGTTATGCCTTTTGAAAGGTTTGAGAAGAAGAAATTCGGGAAGGATTTACGAGGAATTGGAAATATCAGGTGAACCTCGATAACTCGAACCTCCCTAAGTCGATTTTATTTTTCAGGTCCTGTCTGAATCCCCTTAGAATTTATATTTTTAAAACCTCCCTAAGTCGAAGGCTTTTCCCTTCAAACCTCCATGAGTCACAATTTTCTGTGGCCTGTTGGCCTTTATTTTCTTGACACAAGAAAGAAGAACAGCAAATAAAAACATAGATTGATTTGTTTTAAAAGGAGGTGAGAGACTTGATTGGGCAAAGGAACCCTGCTTTCAACTCATTGAAGGAGTAATTTCAACCTCAGAATATCACAATTTACAATTTTGAGAAATTTCTCTATGTTTCCCAGGACAAAAGGGCTTTGTATTGTGGCTCAATTCAAAACCTCCCCAAGTGGAACCCCCTTTAAGTCGAATATTTTTTGCTGGTCCCTTCAAGAGAGGTTCGGTTGAACAGAACACTTCACCCATGCGGTTTTTTTTTGTATCAGTGACGCCATCAAACGGGGACCGACTTGATGAGATTTCTGATTTTTTATTGACACTAAAAAGAAGGACATACCACTTATTGCATCTACTTTATGCCAATTTTGTGCCACACGTTTAGGATTCATAGCCGATTTTTTTTTCTTATGAGA